AGCTGCTCTACTCTGAGCCCCTCCCGGATGGCCGAACTTCTCACCCTATCTCTAAGGGAGAGGCCAGCCACCCTTCGGAGGAAGCTCATTTCTGCAGCTTGTATCCGCGATCTCGTTCTTTCGGTCACTACCCACAGCTCGTGGCCATAGGTGAGGGTAGGGACGTAGATCAACCGGTAAATTGAGAGCTTCGCTTTTACACTCAGCTCCCTCTTCACCACGACGGACCGGTGCAGCGTCCGCATTACTGCAGCTGCAGCCCCAATCCGTCTGTCGATCTCCGGCTCCCTTCTCCCATCACTCGCGTACAAGACCCCGAGATACTTGAACTCCTCCACTTGGGGCAGGAACTCATCCCCGACCCGGAATGGGCACTCCACCCTTTTCCGGCTGAGAACCATGGCCTCGGATTTGGAGGTGCTGATCCTCATTCCCGCTGCTTCACACTCGGCTGCGAACCGTTCCAGTGCGAGCTGGAGGCCCTCACCCGATGAAGCCAACAGAACCACATCATCTGCAAAAATCAGAGATGAGATTCTGAGGCCACCAAAGCGAAAGCCCTCCGCCACTTGGCTGCGCCTAGAAATCCTGTCCATAAAAATTATGAACAGAACCGGAGACAAAGGGCAGCCCTGGCGGGGCCCATCACCCACCGGGAACGAGTCCAACTTATTGCCTGCAATGCGAACCAAGCTCTTGCAACGGTTGTATAGGGATCGAATGGCCCGTAGCAATGGGCCAGACAGCCCATACTCCCGCAACACCTCCCACAGGACACCCCGAGGGACACGGTCGAACGCCTTCTCCAAGTCCACAAAACACATGTAGACTGGTTGGGCAAACTCCCATGCACCCTCAAGTATCCTCGAGAGGATAAAGAGCTGGTCCAGTGTTCCGTGACCAGGACGAAAACCGCATTGTTCCTCCTGTATCTGAGGTTCGACTAGCGGATGAACTCTCCTTTCCAGCACCCTGGCATAGACTTTCCCAGGGAGGCTGAGGAGTGTGATCCCCCTGTAGTTGGAACACACCCTCCGGTCCCCCTTCTTAAAGATGGGGACCACCACCCCGGTCTGCCAGTCCACAGGTACTGCCCCTGATCTCCACGCAACATTGCAGAGGCGTGTCAACCAGGACAGCCCTACAACGTTCAGAGCCTTCAGGAACTCGGGGCGGACCTCATCAACACCAGGGGCTCTGCCACCAAGAAGTTGTTTAACTGCCTCAGTGACCTCGCCCCCGGAAATTGGTGGGTCATTCCCCTCATCCCCAGACTCTGCTTCTTCCTCGGAAGACGTGTCAGTGGGATTAAGGAGGTCCTTGAAGTATTCCTTCCACCGCCTGACGTCAGCAGCGCTCCGCCAGCACTATACACAGTGCAGGTAGAGCACCGCTTTCCCCTCCTGATACGCCTGACGGTTTGCCAGAATCTCTTCAAGGCAGTCCGAAAGTCTTTTTCCATGGCCTCTCTGAACTACTCCCACACCCGAGTTTTTGCTTCAGCCACTGCCCGAGCCGCATTCCGCTTGGCCTGTCGATACCTGTCGGCTGCCTCCGGAGTCCCACAGGGTAACCAAGCCCGATAGGACTCCTTCTTCAGCCTGGTGGCTCCCTTCACCTCTGGTGTCCACCATTTGGTTCGGGGATTACCACCATGGCAGGCACCAACCACCTTGCGGCCGCAGCTCAATGCAGCAGCTTCAGCAATGGAGACGCTGAACATGGTCCATTCGGACTCAATGTCCCCAGTCTCCCTCGGAATGCTGTTGAAGCTCTGCCGGAGGTGTGCGTTGAAGATCTCGCGGACTGGGGCCTGTGCTAGACGTTCCCAGCACACCCTCACTACGCGTTTAGGTGCACCTATGGCGCCTCCTGCGGGTGGTGGGCCTGCGGGAGGATGGGCCCATGTCTCCTCTTCGGGCGGTGCCCGGCCGGGCCCCATGGACTAAGGCCCGGCCACCAGACGCTCGCCCTCGGGCACCCTCCCCGGGCCTGGCTCCAGGGTGGGGCCCCAGTAACCCTGTCCCGGGCAGGGTAAACTGTTCCCTCGATATCCTTTTCATAAGGGTCTTCTGAATCGCTCTTTGTCTGGTCCCTCACCCAGGACCAATTTGCCATGGGAGACCCTACCATGGGGCAAAAGCCCCCAGACAACATAGCCCCTGGGATCCCTGGGACACACAAACCCCTCCACCATGATAAGGTAGCGATTCAAGGAGATTTTTGACACATTTTAAATATGTTTACCAGAAAAAAATATGAAAACTTGTTAGTTGGCTTATTGTAGCCTATGTGAGTTTACTGTGCGCTTTGATGTTTTTTAGTATTTCAACATTTTTAAACTAGTCACAGAGTTTTATTGGAAGATATTATACATTTTATTTTACTTTAGAGTCTGTGACGTAGCCTGATCTTCAGTAAATGGTTACAAGAAATTCATGTGACACTACGACCTTACAGAGAGGGGATGCTGGCTAATTTGGATGTCCAGTGAAATTATTGAAGATCATCTCTTGCCTGAGAAGGCTTAAAGACGTCACAATGCTGCTGTCCCAATTGAGATATGGAAAATAATACATAGATAAGAGATGACAAAGAAAAAAATTTGTATTTTTGTTAAAAACATCTTTTTTATACTGTGAAAAGTAAATCAGACTCAAAATACAGATCTAAAAAACATGAAAGAAAACTTTCCTCCTCTTCTGAGAATTTGGCTCAAATTGTGCCAATAAATTTCCCAGTGAGCAGATCCAGCTGTGTTGGTAACACTTGACGTAATGCTTTCCCAGGCTAACGTGAATGCTAATGCCAAGTCTGAAGCAGCCACGATGTCCTCACTTTGACGGTTTTTGTACTGCAATGTGTGCACACAAGCATACAAAGACTTGAACATACACACTCAAACACGTGTGCACACACAGACACACACACACAGCTGTCCTTCAGCGGTCTGGAGATAAGAGCCGTTATTGAAATCCCAGCTCCCTAACAGCCATCAATTACTCTGTGTGTGTGTGTGAGTGTGTGTGTGGCAGCTCGTCAGGGAGCTCTGTGCGTGTCTGCCGAGCAGCGCTGATACGTTTTCTCTCTCCGCTGGATTATGAGTTCCTCGGGAAAAGAGGCGACGTGCCTTATCAGTCCTCCGGCTGGGCGATAAAACACAGGCGCGCACACACAGATGTCGAGCGTCGTTATGTGGCTGCAGACAGAGAACGGTGTGTGTGTCTGCGAGTGTGTGTGCTTCACTGTCAGCGCAGCTGAAATGAAGCCCAAACCGTGCACCAGACTACATTGACTTTCTCTAACTCGTTACATTTTTTAACCTTTTATGAGTGAAAGTAAAATCATAAGGTACAGGTGGGCTCACATTATGCAGCAGGCTTTTGTGCAACACTTCAGCTGCATTAACACAGCTTGCAGCTGTTTTGCAACCTTGACACCTTTACACCTTCACTCTTCAGCACAGCCTGAACTCTTATAGGCAAGCTTATAATTTCTTTCAGTAGTCTTCAGGAATAGTTCTCCAGGCTTCTTGAAGGACAATAAAAGCTCTTCTTTGGATGTTTCTGCCTTTTGTTCTGTTCTCTGTCAGCATGATCCCACACTGTTTCAACAATGTTGAGGTCTGGGCTCTGGGGACGCCAATCCATGACTGATAGGGTTCCATTGTATGTTTTTCTATCTAGGTATGTTTTTTACTGCATTAACAGTGTGTTTTGGATTATTGTCATGCTGAAAAATGAATGAAACTGTTGTTAATCAGATGCTTTCCAAATTAAATTGCACTGTGGTTGAAAATCTCACCGTACTTTTCTGTGTTCATAATTCAGCAATTTTAACAAAGCTCCCGAACACCCTTGGCTGAAATGCAGCCCCAAACCATGACAGAGCCTTCACCATGTTTTACAGATGGCTGTAGACAATGTTGGACCTCTTCTGTACATACTGATGATGATTTGATCCTAAAAATCACTCTATCAGACCTGTTACCACTGTGTGACGGAGGTGTGGTCCCTGGCGTAGCTGCAGGGGAGGGGTGGAGCGGTGAGCAGCAGGTGGTGGCGATTGTGTCATGAGTGTTTTCCTTCTGTGTGTCTATATAGTGACGGCAGAGTCGAGCGGGAGGCGGGCTGGACCAGGACGAGCTGTCACGGCTCATTGTTATTATAAATAAAAACGGAAACGTGAGCAAAAGCGGTGTGTGTGTCTGTGTGTGTGTGTGTCGCATACATCACACACTGATTTTAAATCCAGTTCTTGTATAATTTGGACTCCATTGATGGTTATACCTTGAGGGTTGTGAATGAAAGGAACGACCTGTCTGATCTGTACCCCTATTGGTGTTCTGTTATTGAACTTCTGTTCTAACCACAGCTTATCCATAATGAAGGTATTCATAAGTCCAATTGGCACCTGTACCCACATCGGATCGATGACTGATTTTGTAATCATATCATCACACCTGCAGCCATATTTCTTGGATACGTGGGTAAAGAGAGGTGCTGAGCTGTCAACAGCTCACCACCTGGTGTTTTATTCAACATTTTGGTTCTCAGATCTTCTTCAGGTCAACTTGTGTATGAGTGTAACTGATTGACTTCATTTAAAGTTTTAATACTGAAGAACTTTCAGTGAAATCTGACATGGACATGGACAAAAGTCTGATGTGAATAGAAAGAAAAATGTACCAGATGTTCCAGTACATTTTAAGCTTCCCATACAAGTGAAAATGCTACTGGCTTTTTTTCACAACCCTCCAAACACCTGTGGATGTGCGCCACTGGTGTGTGTCCTGCCCGGAATGCCAACTTGTTAATCAGCTGGCCATTCCAAAAGCGCCTTTGCGCCCGCTCCCTCTAATGGAGGTCCTGTTTGAACGTAAAGTATTGGCATCGGGCCGTTTCCCCGGAGTGCACGCGGTTATCGCTTTGTACTAGTTCTGGTGGATTATGCAATGAAATACCTGGAAGCCGTGCCACTGCGAACCATCTCTGTTTCAGGTCATCTCCCAAGTCGGTATCCCGAAAGAGATACTGACCTACCAGGGCACGTCGTTCATGTCTCACACACTGTGTGAACTGTATGACTTGTTGGGCATTAAATCTATTCGGACCAGCGTCTACCACCCTCAGACTGACGGGCTGGTGGAGCGACTGAATAAGACTTTAAAGTCCATGATTCAAAAGTTCATTCACGAGGATGAACGCAATTGGGATCGTTGGTTAGACCCTCTGTTATATGCAGTGTGGGAGGTGCCCTAGGCCTCCACGGGATTTTCTCCCTTTGAACTGCTGTTCGGCAGGAAGCCACGTGGGGTGCTCGACCTAATTAAAGAAAGCTGGGAGGATGGTCCGAGTCCCGCAAAAAACGAGATTCAGTACGTGTTGGACCTGAGAGCGAAACTCCACACTTTGGGGAGGTTATCATGGGAGAATTTGCTCCAGGCTCAGCAGCGTCAGCAGTGCCTGTATAACAGAGAGAGGAGCTAGACTCAGGCAATTTTCACCGGGAGACAGAGTGCTTGTATTACTCCCTTCTTCTAGCTCAAAGTTACTCGCCAAATGGCAAGGTCCCTTTGTGGTCACACGGCGAGTGGGGGACGTTGACTATGAGGTCGCACGGTCGGACAGGGGAGGGGCCACGCAGATTTATCACCTCAACCACCTGAAAGCATGGAGGGAGGCTGAGTCTGCTTCTCTGGTGAGCCTGGTTAAGGGGAGAGATGAGTTGGGGCTGGAGGTACCAAATTCTATCATTCCCGCCTTCCTCCATTGTGATGACCATCTCACACAGGCCCAGAGAGTGGATGTTGCAGTGTTGCAACAGCACTTTGCGGACGTGTTCTCCCCCCTGCCCGGCCGAACGTCTCTCATTGAGCATCATTTTGAAACACAGCCTGGCGTGACAGTGCGTTCACGGCCCTACAGGCTCCCTGAACACAAAAGGCAAATTGTTCAGAGGGAATTGGCTGAAATGCTGAAGATGGGAGTAATAGAAGAGTCACACAGCGCCTGGTGTAGTCCCATCGTTCTCGTGGTGAAGAATGATGGGTCTATACGGTTCTGTGTCGACTATTGCAAAGTGAATGAGGTGTCACTGTTTGATGCTTATCCCATGCCCTGGGTCGACGAGCTCCTGGACCGGTTAGGCACGGCCCATTTTTTCACGACACTGGATTTAACCAAGGGCTACTGACAGATTCCTTTGTCTGCAGAGTCCAAGGAGAAAACGGCCTTCTCCACTCCATATGGTTTGTACCAGTTCATCACGCTTCCATTCGGCTTGTTTGGAGCCCCAGCCATCTTTCAGCGCCTCATGGACCGGGTGCTGCGTCCACACGCTGCGTATGCTGCCGCCTACTTGGATGACGTGATCATCCATAGTGACACCTGGGCGGAGCATGTGTAGCGGGTGGCCGCGGTACTGGAGTCCCTGAGGCAGGCGGAGCTCACGGCCAACCCGAAGAAGTGTGCGGTTGGACGGAGGGTGGTTCAGTATTTGAGGTGCCACTTGGGGGGTAGGCACAGGTAGAGAAAACGGCGGCTCTAGCATCCTGCCCGCGCCCCAAGACGAAAAAGGCGGTGAGACGATTCCTGGGGCTGGTGGGTTACTACCGCCGTTTCGCGCCGGGGTTTGCGGAGCTGACCAGCCCCTTGACTGATCTCACCCGCAAGGGTGCTCTGGATCTGGTCCAGTGGATGGGGCCGTGCCAGGCAGTGTTTGTGCAGGTGAAGAAAGCTCTCTGTGGAGAGCCGCTGCTCCACACTCCTGACTTTTCCCTCCCTTTTGTTCTGCAGACTGACGCCTCGAACAGAGGGCTGGGGGCCGTTTTGTCCCAGCAGGTACGGGGGGTTGACCGGCCCATGCTCTACATTAGCTGGAAGCTGTCCAAGCGGTACAGCACTGTGGAGGAGTCCTTGGCTATATGGTGGGCAGTCGACTCCCTTTGCTATTACCTCCTGTGTCGCATACATCACACACTGATTTTAAATCCAGTTCTTGTATAATTTGGCATACCTCAGCCCTTTCTTCCAATTTCCCTTTCTTAAGAAAAGCTTCTTTCCTTCCACTGAAACCATTCTTCCCTCAAATTTTTGTAAGTACTCGCTGCACACCATGCTGAGATACCTCAAGCTTTCAGCTAATACACAGGTGTCAAACTCCAGGCCTCGAGGGCCAGTGTCCTGCAGGTTTTAGGTGTGTACTTCATCCAACACAGCTGATTTAAATGGCTAAATTACCTCCTCAACATGTCTGGAAGTTCTTCAGAGACCTGGTAACGAAGCAATCATGTGATTCAGATGTGTTGACCCAGCGTGATATCTAAAACCTGCAGGACACCGGCCCTCGAGGCCTGGAGTTGGCCACCCCTGAGCTAATAATTCTTTGGGAATCAACTTGTTAGTGCAGAAACACTATTTTATCTCTATCAGACTGTTGTTTTTGGCATTTTACAGAATTCAGCTTCTAACAAGATTCAATGTTTCAGCCATTCAAGAAATTGGAAGAAATTATGTGCTTTTGTGACATGCTGCTACTAACCCAGAGACACAATTTAAGATGTGTGTGTTATGTGTTGACACACTTTTTTCTGCTTGAATGATTCATAGGCCGGTGTTAAGTGGGTAAACAAACAAAAAATACCCCTCTGAAAATGGCCAGGTACAAGGACTGGACTGAAAAGAAGTGAAAAAAACAGCCAATAAAAAACTTGGAGGATTGAAGGCTGTCTCAACACTCTGCACAGCACTGTAGCTCAGATGCATAAAAAAATCTATTGACATTATTGTAGAATTTGGAACATTTGTCTTTTTATCAGAAAGTCACGTCTCTGACAGAGGTTTTCCCCTCTTTCCCCAACAACTATGTTGTTGTGGTCCCCAGGTCTGCCTTCAGTAAGGGAGCGGGTCCTGACTGTTGTTTATGCCTATGCACCAAACAACAGTTCAACGTACCCAGCCTTCTTAGAGTCACTGGGTGGAGTGCTGGAGAGTGCTTCATCTACGGACTCTATTGCTCTGCTGGGGGACTTCAACTCTCACATGGGCATTGATGGTTATACCTTGAGGGTTGTGAATGAAAGGAACGACCTGTCTGATCTGTACCCCTATTGGTGTTCTGTTATTGAACTTCTGTTCTAACCACAGCTTATCCATAATGAAGGTATTCATAAGTCCAATTGGCACCTGTACCCACATCGGATCGATGACTGATTTTGTAATCATATCATCACACCTGCAGCCATATTTCTTGGATACGTGGGTAAAGAGAGGTGCTGAGCTGTCAACAGCTCACCACCTGGTGTTTTATTCAACATTTTGGTTCTCAGATCTTCTTCAGGTCAACTTGTGTATGAGTGTAACTGATTGACTTCATTTAAAGTTTTAATACTGAAGAACTTTCAGTGAAATCTGACATGGACATGGACAAAAGTCTGATGTGAATAGAAAGAAAAATGCATAGTTAAACCAGATGTTCCAGTTACTACTGACTTTTTTCACAACCCTCCAAACACCTGTGCTCACTTTATCAAAGTATCGTCTTCTCAGACCTTCATTAGGTTTGCTTTTGTACGACAGCAGCTGGAATGCTTCCAAACTTTATGTGAAGTTCTTACTTGAAAAGGAGGCAACAACTCCTGCCTGTTTGAACTCGTGTTTTTCAGGCATGTGAACAAATTGCACAACACTACAGATGATATTTCTTGCTATTCACACATTAAATGCCCATGACAATCTCTGGAGTTTTTATATTTAATGCAATTCTATGAATTCACTGATCTTTTAGTTCATCAGCTTAATTAAAACACAAAGGTTAAAATTTGTGTGTAGTGTGTGTAAAAGTGTGTACAACAAATCAAACGGAGTCTGTTTTCTGAAGTATCCCTGCTCTGGTTAAAAAGAAAGAAAGAAATGTAGTGAAAATGTCAAAGGAAATGATTTGTGTTACACAGTGAGACTTTTTTCTTTGCAGAAACCTCATGTGGTTTCAGTCTGACCTGCTCTCATGTGGTTTTTCTCTCCATCTACAGACATGGTGGGCTGAGCGGCGTCCTTGAGGCAGACGGCTCCGTCTGAAGCAGAAACCAGCGGAAGGCAGGCCCGCAGCATGGTAAGGTTAAAGTTCAATTTCAAGTTCATTTTCCTCTGAGCTGTCGGAGCTTTACCTACAGACTGAACTTAAGTGATAATCACTCCATGCAGAATGAAGTTGAAATGATGATGAAACTTTTTCAACTTTATGTAAGATTTTTAGAGAAAGTCTGAGTTTGGTATTTACGATACAGGAGTCGGGAAACATAAATGAAAATGTTGGATAAGCAACAAAGATCGATCGGTCGATTGTTGTTCCCCTAGACAGCTACTGGAGCCAATATTTCCATGAGTTTTTCGTGACATGAAATAGCAGTCTAAGCCATGACCTCAGTGGTTTCAGAGTAACTGTTTGGCAGTTACTCTTTAGAAGCTAATTATTTGTTGAGTTGAATTTTCAAGGAAGTGACCACAATTACCAAAGTAAAACATCAAAAAACAAGAACAAAGGTTGGTGATTTTAGATATAATTAACAAAACCAAAAATTGCATACAGTATTTTCCGTCACACCTGAAAGGCTGATTGCATATTGTCTTCACCACACCGGTGGGCAATGGGGATGGCCAGCTTTGTGACCACAATAAGTCAAGTATAATTTTTAAATTGATGCCATAGATGTAGCTACTAAAAATATCGGTGACTTTGACCTCAACTTTAAATTTGAGGTTACAAGTTCTGAAAATCTTGTGAATGCAGTAACTCTCTCAGAGAAAGATCTGAACTAGGATTTATACCATAAAAGCTTCTAGGTGAGGGGCAACACTGAAGAGAATTAAATCAGCAATTTGATTTAATTAAATCATATGTCCATCCTAAATGAGGAAGGACATATGATATTAAATAATCAGGCTGCATGCCCTGGGGTAGCTTGTTTGCTTCTAAATTTGGACATGTGAATCAAATTTCCTTAATTGTGGTGTTGCTTTGTTGTTGTTTGTTGGTATATATCTGTTGGTGTCTGCGTACATCTCAACACTGTAGCACAACACAGCAACAAGCAAATAGGTGCCGTTTAGAGTGCGTTTAGAAAAAACAGCAAACCTTATTGGCAGAATGGTCAAAAGTTTGGGCGCTACAACCTCAAGTGTGTTCACTAGGGGTGGGCGGTATAAACGGTATACGGTAGAAACAATATGAATTTGGCCAACGATAGAGATTTTGACTATACTGCTCTACCACGATAGCACATGTTGATGGTGTCATCAAGCTGCACCTGTTTTGACTGAAAGCATCACAGCGGCTGCAAGCATGAAGAGGAGGAGACGGTGCTCATAAAGAAGAACGGTGCGATGCCGGTCATATGCACCTGGTTTGGGTTTAAGCAGTTGGATGTTAAGCAGAAAAATATTATCTGCAAATTATGCCTGGCGACAGTAATAGCGAAGAGACGAAGCACGTTTTGGAATATGAGGAAAGCCAAAAACTGCGCTTCCTCCACTTTCATACCATTGATTCATTAATGTTAAATTCTCTCGCAGCTGCTCTATTCCCATGTTGTTGCAGCATATTAATGACTAGCCTCATATTGTGGATGGATTTACTCAGCTGTTCTCCTGACTGAAGTTTAGTTAGTTTACAGCATCTTGCCATGCGATTGCATTTGTCCCTAATCATCAGGAACCCTCCCGTTAACTTTCATCGAGTGGAAAAAAGTTAACATTCATCCTCCAGCGTCACTGTGTTTATGTTATGCTAACATAGCTGTGTTGCTAGCAATCACAGCAGCAGTCCCCAACCTTTTTTGCGCCACGGACCGGTTTATGCCCGACAATATTTTCACAGACCGGCCTTTAAGGTTAAATGCAACAAAATAAAACTAGTACCGGTACCGAAGATTTATTCATAACACACGTGAAAAGACCCAGGAAAACCGAGTTAACGATAAAATCGATAACAAAATAACGCTGAAAACCAATAAAAACCCTGAAAACTATACATTTCACACCTGAGCCTCAACTCTCGCGGCCCGGTACCAAACGACTCACGGACCGGTACCGGTACCGGTCCAAGGCCCGGGGGTTGGGGACCGCTGGTATACAGAAAAGATCTATTTATCGCAATATATATCGTTACCGCACATGCTTCAAATTATACCGCAATTTGGATTGTAGGCCATATTGCCTGTAGTGTTTTCAACGAGGATGTTGGTGACACCGAGTTAAACCACAAATGAAGACCCTGGAGTTTAGTTGCAGCTTGTTTAATTGTCTCCATGAACATGTGGTGAAAACTGAAATGACAGAAAATAAACTCCATCTCAACAGGCATGTTTACATCAATAAAGTACATTACTAAAACATTCATGTTAGAAAAATATACATTAATATCCAAAGTTATCTGTATAAACTGTCATATAAAGTAACTTACGGCGTTCCAGCCTGATAATTCGGAGGAGATGGCATTTGATTACATCTCCATACTGCCTTTAGCATGAGGAGCCTGTTTCTCAGCAAAACCGAGTGCTTGACCAAAAACCGGAAGTACTTGACCGGAACCGGAAGTGCCCCGCCAGAACAGGAAATATATTTTAGCGAAATTTTCCTTTTAACTAAAACGTATGTAAAGCATGAATTCTTCATTTTAACAACACATATTAATTTTTTAATGGCAAATCTTTTTAGAATTATTTATTTCAAACTTATGAACCTATTTATTCAGAGAAATGCCTTAAGGGCAACACACTCCCCGCCTGGCTTCGGGAGGCCACTAAGCTAAACAAATATTATGCATTCAGTCTTTTGGCATGAGGAGGATAACTTCTGGTCGCATAAATGTCTTTATGCACCCTTGATTGCATGTCTTTACCTCAATTTTCCTTACTCGATCGTCCTTGCTTGGGAATGTGGCAGTGACCCTGGCCATGGGCCAGCTGTTTCGTGCAACCTGCTTGTCCTTGAGCAGAACCAGGTCACCAACTTGGAGGTTTCTGCGTGACCCGGTCCATTTCTGCCTTTGCTGCAATGTGGGTAGATACTCTCGCCTCCAGCGTGTCCACAACTGGTTGGAAAGGGCTTGGACCCGTCTCCATTGTTTGTTGTAGAGGTCTTTATCCGAAAAGTCTCCAGGTGGGGATAGGAGGCAAGATTTCTGCGTAAGGAGCATTGAAGGGGATAGGACGAAAGGGTTCTCTGGATCAGAGGACACTGGGACGAGCGGCCTTGCATTTATTATGGCTGTAACCTCAGCCATGAGTGTGCATAACACGTCGTGAGTCAGTTGAACCTTATTTTGTAGTAGCATGGAGTCCAGGATTCTGCGGGCGACTCCGATCATGCGCTCCCAAGAGCCTCCCAAGTGGGATGCGTGTGGTGGATTAAACTCCCAACTGCCGCCTTGGATAGTTAGGTACGGTTGGAGTGATTTATCCATTCCAAGTTCCTTTGAAGTGCTAATAAAATTGGTGCCACGGTCAGATAGCAGCTGTTTGGCGGGGCCTCTCAGAGCGAAGAAGCGGCGGAGGGCGTTTATGCAGCTGGATGTGTCCAGAGATTCGATTACCTCAATATGCACAGCTCTCGAACTCATGCAGGTAAACATGATGGCCCACTGCTTACTTTCAGCTACTCCGCCCCTGGTACGCCTGGTTGTTATGGACCACGGTCCGAAGACATCAAGGCCGACGTAGGTGAAAGGAGGACAAGTTTTTAGGCGTTCAGGTGGTAGGGGTAGGTCCGCCATGAGTTGTTGTTCTTGTTTTCCACGTAGTTTGCGGCAGGTTAAACATTTGTGGATTACTGAATTGACTAGTTTTTTGCCGCCTAAAAGCCACAGCCCAGCAGCTCTGATTGCTCCTTCCGTCAGATGACGACCTTGGTGCCTTGTTAGCTCGTGGTAATGGCGAGTGAGCAGAAGGGAGATGTGACTGTTTTTTGGAAGAATTACTGGGCTCTTTTCAACACTCTCAATTTCTGCGTGTTTGAGTCGGCCTCCAACAGAAATGAGACTGTCCTGTAACATTGGGCTGAGCTTCTTGAGGGGGCTCTGTTTTGAGATTGGCTTGCCAGCATCAAGGGCAGAAAGTTCCTTTTCAAAGTATGCCTTCTGTGTC